CTACTGGGAGCAAGAAGCTACTAGGAGCAAAGGGCATTGCTACTAGGTGGCCTTACTACTAGGAGCAAGAAGCTACTAGGAGCAAAGGGCATCGCTACTAGGAGCAAGGACGCTACTAGGGGCTCCTGGCCTTACTACTGGGAGCAAGAAGCTACTAGGAGCAAAGGGCATTGCTACTAGGAGCAAGGACGCTACTAGGGGCTCCTGGCCTTACAACTAGGAGCAAGAAGCTACTGGGAGCAAAGGGCATCGCTACTAGGAGCAAGGACGCCACTAGGGGCTCCTGGCCTTACTACTAGGAGCAAGAAGCTACTAGGAGCAAAGGGCATTGCTACTAGGTGGCCTTACTACTAGGAGCAAGAAGCTACTAGGAGCAAACGGCATCGCTACTAGGAGCAAGGATGCTACTAGGGGCTCCTGGCCTTACTACCGGGAGCAATAAGCTACTAGGAGCAATGGGCATTGCTACTAGGAGCAAGGACGCTACTAGGGGCTCCTGGCCTTACAACGAGGAGCAAGAAGCTACTGGGAGCAAAGGGCATCGCTACTAGGAGCAAGGACGCCACTAGGGGCTCCTGGCCTTACTACTGGGAGCAAGAAGCTACTAGGAGCAAAGGGCATTGCTACTAGGAGCAAGGACGCTACTAGGGGCTCCTGGCCTTACAACTAGGAGCAAGAAGCTACTAGGAGCAAAGGTGGTTTATCCTGGATCGGCTGCCCAAAACACCTGAGCCCTGCCACGGTGCACCCCGGCCGTCGCGGCGTGGGTGGCGTCGAGGTATTTCCGGACGGTGCCAGCGAAAGAGGCCAACATGCTGTCCCACCTGGGTGAGGTTCTTAGCGGTTTCTGGAGCAGCATAAGCATGGTTATACCATTGGTCATGAGACGGTCATGAGACATCAACACTTGTCATCATGTGTCATATAGGTCACTCATGGTCACTCTTCTTCCTTGGATTTGCAACTACTAGAAGTAGGTGCAATTCTAACGCCAGTCCAGGTCATCTTTGCCAGTGATCAAGGCGATGCATTCCATGACAAGGCGGACATCATCCTCATGTCTTTTGGTGCACCGCCCTTCCCACTTTGTATTCGGCACGCCGTGCGATAACGCGTGAGGTCCGCCGGATGGGTCCACGAACTCACCGGGAGGGGAAGTTGGGTCACCGACGGTCACCGCAGCTGTGTTTGTGTTCTCCTTTTCTCCTGCGTTGTTCCGTTCCTCTCTTTCCAAACAGCCCTTGCTTCAACAAAATGGGAGCCAATGCCAATGCCCACCGCATGTTTCACCACTCAGTGGATGAGGTGTCGAGATTCCATGGAACGACTGTCCCAAGCAACTGCACTGCATATGCTTGACATGTCTTGACATGATTTTATGTGATGATGGTCGTCACCCCTTTCAGCATAAAGTGACCAATCCCTACCCCCAATAATACTATATGTATATATATATACAGTCACTCGACCTTACGTCACAATGTGTCTCAGCAATGACCAGAAAGCACTTGTAAACACTAATGTTGAGATATGTTGAGGTTTCAGAAGTAACATCCTAAGTTAAGTTGCCTCTTGGGGCCTCTCCTGAAAGCCTCTTTCAAAGCTGTCAGCTAGCTATCTCCGAACCTCGTTTGTAAACTCTTGGTGTATCTAGCGGCTAGCTTTGAACCATACAATGGAGGTTCCACGCAGCCTTCCGTTTAGGCACCTTTTGTCTATAAATAACCAGCCCCCCATGCCCAGGGGCCGGGAACCATGAAACATCATAGGATACCATGAGCCTGTGATCTTAAAAAAAAACCTGTGCCGTTTTCACGTCATGTTCTGCCTTCTTCCGGCATCACCACATCCACATCGCCAAGTGGCTCAGGTGGGAATTGCAGCTGCTTCACCCGCACTTGTGCCTCAATGACGTTGCTTCCCTCGAAGACACCAACGGTGGCGTGTCATGGACATCAGTGACCCGACCGCCCGACCGGGCCATTGGAAGACCCGGCCGCATGGCAACATGTTGTAACAAACAAGGGGTGAGTTCAACCCTCAAAACAAAGTACTTCACTTCTCAAGTTGGCAAAGCAAAGCTCTGTGGGCAGCTGGTCCAACAATACAACATCCTTCTATGCAAACCTGCAAATGCATGGTGCATCATGGTGCCATCTAAAAGAAGGAACCAGCGTGGCGCGTATAGCATTTTTTCCGCTCATCTAGTTCGCCCAGTTGCCCTCTCGAGTTCCTGCTTCCGCTTCGAAATCTGCCGCCTCAGCCTCAAATCGCGATGTCTGATCATGGGTGGCGCCAAGCGGACCAAAGGTGACCAGCTGGGGTAGTCACACCCTCCCCTACAGCATGGATCTTGCAAAATGCACGCACTTGTGATCACTTGAGGCCAAGGGGGGGGCGAAAGCTAGCGCTCCAGAATGGAAAAGTGGAGGGCAGCGAGGTAGGAAAAAACACGGCGCTCTTTTTGGAGGCAGGGGTGAAGAGTCCTTTATATGTGGCTCTTTGCCCGGATCCTCCTGCGAGAGAAGAGAGAGAAGAGAGACGGAAAGACGAGAGACAGAGAGGAGAGAGAGAGAGAGGAGAGAGAGATGAGAGAGATGAGAAAGAGATGAGAGAGATGAGAGAGATGAGAGAGAGAGAGAGACAGTGAGACAGTGAGACAGTGAGACAGTGAGAGTGAGCGAGTGCGGCCGCAAGATACGCAACGCTAACCGCATGCCAAAGAGCGACAGGACGGAGTCGAACTTGCGAAGAGGGAGGAGGGAGGGAGGGGAGGGAGGGAAGGTGGGAGGAAGACAAGGAGGAGGAGAGGGGAGGTCGGGTGGGGAAAGGGGAGAGGGGAGAGGGGAGGAGGGGGGGGGGGCTTCGACCTGAAAAATCAGGGGTTAGGATTTGCACCCGGTCGAAAGAAACCTTGCTATCGCAAGAGTAACTCCAGCTAGCTTCGCTAGCTTTCGTGAAAACATGGTTCGATGTTTTTCGTCCGAGCTGCTACCATGGCCCCCCAGCTATGGATGGTGAGTGGCTGGGGATCTCTGAACTCACCACCCAGTCCAGCATGGATGTTCCACCATCAACCAGGCCGGGTCCCGCTACTGCACAGACCACCCGACCGAAGCCGAGCAGCTCCTCTTGCAGCCGACCGATGTGTCCATCGATGTCGTGGAACCTGGGACCCGGTCGCGGGCGGGCGGAGCGGTCGTCTGCGTCGTCTCTCCGTGGTTCGGCGGAAGGGGTGGTTGGTGACTGAAGTGCTTTCGGTCCTCAAAGAGTCATTGATTGGAAGTGCGGAAGGGCTCTGAGGACCCCGGATAATATGGGGTATATGTTTAGTTTCCAAGCCGGGTTCGGGTTGGTTGCTGATGCATTGTTTGTGCTTTGCGTTTATGACCCGCACCAAACATGTTGTTTGTTATTAACACCGAGTGGCTACGGCTACATCGATGTCTGGTTTGAACTGCAATGAGGATCTTAATAATGATGACCTTAATATGTCAAAACCAATGTCATATCCCACATGTAAGCAACTCATGATCATTCGTGTTAGTTCCTCATTGGGTCGAATACAAGTGGGTTTGTTTGATCAACTCCGGAGCTCACTGCAAAGTAGCAACAGCATCAGCTATTGCTGTATGAAAATCATGTATTAAATGTCTGTGGTTAAATTCGTTTAAATGGGTAATGAACAAGAACAACCAACGTCACGGGTTCAGTAAGATCGATTTTTAAGGATTGCAAAAAAAAACACATTAAACAACACAGATATTATAGATCAATATATGTATAGTATATCGAACTTGTAGAGATGTAGAAGCTTTATAGCTTCACCCAAACTGCCCTTTGGACCGCCCATGGCACCAAGGTCCACAACCAAACACCCGGTGGAGCCACCGGATCTGGGCGCTCCGAGCTGAAACTCGTTCAGCTTCTTGCGGACCTGCGGTGCGAAACGGAACGAAGGGACCGGAGCGGCGCTCCCGTGTTGGTCCCCAAATTCGATTCGGGACGCTTTGGCCAACAGTGGTATTACTAGGAGCGATCGGACGCTACGAAGAACAGAGCTCCTGGCCGTATCCTGAGAACGGAACAAGAAGCTACGGAATTTGGGGCCACTGGCATCGCGACTCGAACGGAGCGGTCGGACGCTAGGTGCGCATTTCTTCAAGTTTGCTTCGGAGCCGGTGAGTAAAAAAAGAGTTTTTTGGTTGGCTTGGTTTTATGTTTCAGTTTTCTTTTCGGACACGTAATTACTGTGAGAGCCATAGGGCCGTTGTAGAGTTTTACGCCATTTTTGAGGTTTGATGAGGTTTGATTGATTCTAATTATTCTAATTTATATTTGCACACCTGTTCAATAATTCGTAGGGCCGACACGAGTCAAGATGTCAAGCAATTATAGGCAAAGATAGGCAAAGGGTCAACCACATTTCACCGACTGGCAGGCGATGGAACTTTGATTCACGGAACTTTGGAGCCTCCGGGAGATTTTGATCTCCTCTTCTTAGCCATTGCACACTTGAATGGAGTTCGTTCGTTTGGGCTGGAAAAACATCCCCACTCAAGGCAACCCGGTGGGCTTTTTTGATGTGGACGTTTCGCCAGGCGATGGTGGCACGGTGCCTCAACGAGGCTGGTGTCCCCTGAAACGCGCAGCTTCAGTTTCACTCAGCATATGAATCGAGCCCCGCGCGACCGAACATGATAGTAGAACATGCGTCTGGAAGTCATGGAGGCCCTCCCCATGAAGCCATGAAGTCGAACAAAGGGGTGTTCGGTGTTCTGCAAAACACAAAGGGGGAACAACATATGGTTGGCCATGACAGTAATCGCCAACTTCCTTCGCACCACAGCCTTCTTCCACCGCCTTCTTCCACCCGCCCGATTCTGCAGCGCCTTTTTGTCCAGCATTTGTTTGGCTTGAATCAGGTGCACCAGTGGCGTTTTTCTCATGCTTATGATGGATTAACCTCCTCATCCTCAGTATCTTCCTCCTCTTCTTCAGCTTCCTGATCATCCTGCACACCATTTTCTGGTTGGGTCAGCATGTCCTTGTACTCTGCATCTCTGGTTGTTTCAAAGTCCGCCACAGCCATTCGCAACAAGGGCCAAAAGGCAGCCATCCATTCTCCTGACATGGAATCCTGCACGGTTCGCTCTTCTGGGCATTGCACTCTCATCGCAAGCAACATGGTCACCAACATCTTCCAATGTCTTGAGCAACGCACCGATGATTCCTCATCGACCAGTTTCTCCACCTTAGTATCTCCTACAATCAACTTTGTTAACTCACGGTACACTGTGCTCCTCACAACTGGGTTGTTTTCCATGCCCAGCAGGGTCTTCTTGGCTTTTTCTCTCAAAGCTGCCGCTTGCCGAGCCGCTTGCCGATCCGCTTCCGTGGTCGCTCGAGCGTGCATCGACAGAAAGAGTGGACTTGGACTCCGTTGAGGTCTTGGGCGGTGCAGTTCGACCAAGTGTTGAACGCACAGCTTAACGATGTCTGGCATGTTGTATTTGATTGACAGCTTCAAATAGCGGAACATCTTTTTCTTTGCCAGCACTTTCATGGCAGAGATGCAACGGTCTCGCAAACCAGTGACCTGATACTCATCTGCAAAGCGCACCAGTAATTCTACATTCTGATCCGTCACAGGCGGTGGTGCAGCTCCATTCCGGAGGTCAAGATGCTTCAAGACCTCTTGAAGCTCCTCGCGTGTCTTACCCTTCAACACAATGCGACCAGTTTGTGCCTCCATAAAGACATCGGATTGCAACATCTTGGCAAACACCTCTGAGGCCGACATGAGAACATAGGAGTGAACCAGGACCGTTTCTCCATCAGCCACCTCAACCTCCACGTCGCTCTGCAAAGAGAAACGGGCGCGCTTCAGAGGCGATTCCATGGATCAAAGTTCGTTTAGGAAGAGCTAAAATGTGCATACCAATGTATACCGTACAGCACATATACTTCATGACATAGTATGTGGATTAATACATATAATCAATAATAGATATATATATATATTAATCTATAATCATCATATACTATTAGGATTTTACAAACATATATAATTTAGTAGGCGCTTCACTCCTGGTGCCTGACTAGTTGCTGCATGAGCTACCACAAAGAATCAGGCCCAAGAAAACGCTTTCTTCAGAACCTGCAGCCCAAGCACCAGGCAAACGTTTACTTAGTCCTGAAAAACTGGCAAATCATCGTCCTTGCTTGGGCCACTGACCAATAACTCCTTATTGTTTATGCCACACGCTAAGTCATCCCGGAGTCATCCCGCCCCGAGGCTCCGGCCAAATCGATGCCAGGCACAATGACGTTCGAAAAGACTTGACTGTCCTGGTTCGGGTCTCGGCCCATCGAGTCGACTTCTGTGTCGACTTCCGTCGGGTCCATCGGCTGGATCCGACCGTCGGTATAGGTGTTTTCGGCGAGCAACGCAACAAAAAAGAAACGTGTAACAACAACAAGTTGATCCACATGCAGGGACGCGTCTATGAAATCTATGGGTTCCATGCTGGGCTTGGACCTGGAGATTTCGATCAACAGAGTGGTATTTCCAAGGAAGCTTCACCGGCCCCTCTTGCCTATCCCGAAACCATAATGAACGACGGTTGCATCACAACAGGCGCTTTTTTCACAAGCCAACGATCGACGATCGACCACCAAAGATCTACACAACAACAATAGTAGTTTCTTGCTACTATAAAGTAGCGCTTGCCTCCTATATTGGCCTCCACCCTAGCAGAGATGGCCTCCAACCGGCCATAGCTTCTTGCTTTTCATGGATGTCAAGGACTGGGATCGTCCGAAGATCGGAGCGCCTTGAAGCGCTCTTGCAGCTGTTTGGCCTTCGGAAAACAGCAGGCTTTGTCTCTGTCCACTCCCTCATTGAGGGTCTGTTCATTTGCAACAGTGGCAGGGACTCAAAGAGAACAGCAGGCTTTGTCAGCTTTGTTGTCAAAAGCCCCTCCAAAACCTTCCCATCGCCTGGCCTCATGAAACACATGGAAACACTATTGGCTGGCAGTTTTTACTTACACAAACAATTCTTGTCATTGGGTCAAGCATCCCTGGCGGTGCATGCACGAACCACACGGTTCCCGGCATTCCGGAACAACCTCCTCATCTTCAGAAAAACCGGGAACTCCTCTTCCCACGCAGCGAGACGCGCCCTCTTCGGCCCCGCTGGAGATCTGTGGATCCTGGACCCTGGGACATGAACGGCACCGGACGAAACGGACTCCCCGTCACCCTAAGAGCGGCACACGCATCTCCGTGTGCTGCACCATGGCCCGTCGAACCTGAAGCTGGCCCGATGAACAGCGGGGGTGAGGGGTCGTTGGAGGAGAGGTGATTCCTTCCAAGAGCAACTTGGCTAAGTTTCTTGCGTCACTGGGTGGCCCGGGTGGCCCTTCGATGAAACCGCTCATGGAACACCCAAAGGTTTGCTTCAACATGATGCTGATCACGAACACAAACACGGACCATCATCTCCTGAGGTGTGATCTTGACGTATTCCATCTGCATCGAATAAATTTCACTGAGTTGTAGTACACACAAGGGGCATCTGATGTGAATGCATGTGCATGCAGCATGCAGCGTTAATCTCGTCAAAACTCACAGGAGAGTCGCTCCACGGACCTTTCAAACAACATCGCTCCGAATCATCTAGAATCTAAGGGAGCAACGGACTGAAGACCTTGCTCCTTGTTGATCTTGTGCCAGTCTTGCTGATCGTAACCTCCCAACGACTTCTTTTCCCCGCTCGTTTCGCACATCTTGGGAAAGGGGGCTGAAGTGTCTTCAACACAGCAGGATCCCTACAGTTGTCTGTCTTGTTGGGAGTTCTGTCACATCACCATGTTGGCTAAACCGGCTAAACCAAGCTTCCCCAAAGCTTGGTAAGGATGAGCAACATGTTGGGCACACCAAGTGGCTGTCTTTAGCACAACATGTTTCAACCCTCGAATGCTGACCTTCAAGTGGGTATTTCTTCCTTCAGGTGCAATAGAAATGCGGCCAGAACCTAGGGGACCCATGTGGCCAAAAGCGACCCGAGAGAACTCCAGTTTCAGGTGACATCAAAGATCCTCTTCCAGTTTCATGTCAGTCCCTCGGTGGACGAACATTTCCCCAGACAGCCTTCCAAAGCCATGCAGCTCACCTTTGCTACAGCCTTCCTGCGTGAACACGGATGCTTCAATCATGTTTCATCGAATAAAATGACCGGACATCGCACTCTATCATACTCTACCCAGGGTCTTTTCTTTTGTGTGATCCACACCCAGGCGCCCGCTTTCCTTATCCCGCGGTTTCCACGCCTTCTTGCCAGAGGGGAAGTCCAGGTTCATAGGGCAAGCCATAGTCGATGCAGTAGAGTACCAAATCCTTCCCATCGAATAACAGGACATCGTGCTTTGTGACGGTGAGGCCCCAGGCGGTGGGAGTTTGGAACAACCGAACAACCTGGTTCATAGTCATAACATCATCCATCAGTTGGATTTCTTTTTTTTGGGGGGGGAGGTCTGTTTACTGCCTTCTTGGTGCCGAACGCATTGCTACCACAAACGCCCTTGCTGGGATTTGTTGCCATGGTTTGGACCCAACAACCGCCGCAAGAACTGCGCCAAACAAATGGCAACCCAAATAATCGGGTGCCATCCTGGTGCCCTGAAAACCCCACCGGTCAAAGTAAAATAACACAAAATAATAATATACAAACTTCTGTAGACCATTGTAAACCAAAACGCACTACCTCGGATTTGCTGGCTTCCCCTGGCAGGCTGGAGCTATGATAGCTATGTAGGAGCACTGAAATTGAGCTCCCAGGCCGTTCGTCCGCTCATCTTCTCATAGAGCGCAGAGTAGTTCTCTGAGACCTGGACGTGAGAGGACGATCCGCGGTCCACGAGCCTGGAGCGTCCGCGTGGACAAAAACAAAGGAAGTCAACGCTGAGTGGATTTTTGGGGTGGTCAACGATGGTAGACGAGAGGGACCTGGAGTAACCGTTGATCGGCTTGCTGTACAATATACCTGCTTTGGTTTACAACTTGAGGCTCAGGGGCTCTCTGGATCAAGAAGGAACCTTCAAGAACAATTTCACTCGGTGCTATAATGGTCTGACATAGTCTGACTATTGCCCATAATCATGCTTTCTATTCCCTCACCAATGAAAACACACATTCACGTGACAAGTGCTTGTCTTCTTGTGGAAAAAAAGGTGGACCTGTAGTCCTCACCTGGTTGTCTTGGATCTTTGTGTTGGCAAAGTTCTGCACCACGATGGTCCGTGAGCACTCACGCATGGCGGCAGCCAGGTGAGGGAAGCCGCCGTTGTTCGGGTGGTCCTGCGGTGCTTTGCTGTTTCGCGAGGTGGATCCCTTTTGGCAGAGGTGAACGGACAATAAAATACAAAATACTTGGGTCCAACAATAAGGATACAAGGATGGGTTTCAAACATACATTTATCTTAAAGCTCTGACATCCAAACAATAATATGTTCAAACAAAATGTCCAATGGCATTGCGGCATTCCCAAACAAATCCAACAACATCCAAAACATCAACATACATCAAAATTGGATCCCAAGCATCCCGCTTTTCCCGAAACCAAATGGGTGCACGTGGAAGACTCTGAATCCACTTCACCAAACGGGTCGGTGTTCGATGCGGGTTCGGAGAGGTCTGCGGGTTCGGCAGGTCTGAGACCTCAGTGGACCCCCCGACGATCTGGAGCAGGTACCACGCCATGGTGCACAAATGTGCACCACAGTCGCACAACCGGCGACAGTCTGGGACCGGAGTCGTTTTTAGGTACATTGAGGTACGTAGCTGGATGTGGGTGTCCAGTGCGCTACAAGTCACAACTGCATGAAACAATGATGAAACATGTCATTCATCTCCACTGTCCTTCATCTGCACCGACAAACTCAGAAAAGGTGATATATTAAATCGTATATGTTCAACTGGTTGATGGTGGTTTCAACTCACTTAAAACAATGTTAGAAAAAATAGATAATAATATTAGTCTGGTCAATTATCTCAAGTAAAGGTTGACAAATCTTGAACATAAAACTATCTGAAACCACCACCCAGTCATGTTGGCATATCTTCACCCTCCCCTGCTCATTGGTCCCAAGCTATTTGGGAACCCATTGACGATTCTGCCCGCTTCTGCCCTTCGCTTGCAGCTCAGCCTTCCCGATCACCAAGATCACGGCATTGTCCGGCCTCAGGAAGAGGAACACTGGAGGAAGAAAACACTGGAGGAAGAGGAACACTGGAGGAACGCCAGGCCTTCAAATTCGAACATTTGGCAGTGAGTCTATCGCCTTGGCGGTGAGTCTATCGCCTTGGCGGTGAGTCTATCGCCAGGTGCGACCGTTTTTTTTTTTGTGCAGGGGTCTGAATTTCAATTGGAATCTGAGCCATTGGTTTCTGACAAGAAACCAGTGTAGTAGCTATGTTCCTGGTCATCCGTTCCAAAGACTCTTGAGAGAAACCCTAATGTTTGGTCTTGATATCTGTAACAGGTTAATTATATATTTATGGCAGACCATGGAATACCTGATATCACCAAAAATACTGAAAGAAAACCTGGTTGGTGTTTTCAACCCACTTGAAAAATATTAGTCAGAGTCAGAGGGTCCAATCATCCCCAAGTAAGGGTTGAACATAAAAATATCCGAAACATTCCGAAACCATCACCTAGAAACACATGCGAAAGCCTATCCACATCGATCATCATCGATCCGCCCAAAATCCAATGTTTACATTACCCGCTGCATCACTACAGTGACTGTTGGTGTTCCCTTAAAACAATAAAAACAACGCGGCTCAAACCGAATGACGCGCCACTGCGGGTCTCACCCGAATCCTCCCGATCGATCCGCGTAGTCCGCGACTCTGTGACTCGGGGCTTAATGAAGGACAAGGCGATCCGCGTGGTCAAACGGTTCCCGCGGCTCAAACCTGGAGAGGATGTGATATCTGGGTCCCATCGGGGCTTTCGTAGTCGGGCCGATCTCGGAGCGACGTGGGGGAGCTTTCGCGACCGAGTGACAAGTGAGTCAAGCGACCGAGTGCTCAATACCGAGGAGTTGGGGACTCTATATGTGCCTGTCAGGAATGTATGCATGACTGTATGACATTGTATGGTACATTGTATGACTAAATACGTACACATGTCTATGTCGTGTACAAATGATTACACATTGCATGTGCATAATTACACCATGTATATCACAATAGGTGAAGTAGATGCGCACTTGCGCAAACGGCGTGTGCCCAGATGAACAAGCGCCGCTCTGCCGGCTCTACCCGTCTCAGAGTGCTCTTGACGTGACCAGACAACGAGCCGCCCGCCCGCCCTCCTTCAGCTTCTCATAAGCCACATGGACATCCATTGGACAACATAGTAATTCCGGTTTGCCAAATATTGGTGTCCCAAAATAATCAATACAACAACAGCAGTTTCCTCCTTCAGTCTCAACAAGCGCATGCCTTTTGTTCACATGCAATGTGTTGTTCATGTCTTTTTTCCCCCAATTTCTATAGTTCCATGACCCACCAAACACCAGTCTCTCTCCTTTTGGGACAGCTCGGCTCGGCTCTGTCCAGACCGGCCTGGCACGTCGACCAGTCGCATGGGGCAATCGATCTCCTTGTGCAAGAGCTGGACCTGAAGCGGGATTTGAGCTGCTGGGACTTGGATTTAGGATTTGCTGGGGGAAATGTACAAGCCACACACTGAGAAGTATATACGCACTCAGACACTTTCTGTTGCCAACCATCTGCGACCGTTTCAACACCGGTGTCTCGAGATCCGTTCCTCTCCGAGATCCGGGTCACCCGGACGTAGACGGGTGTCTCATCGAAGGCGTCGTCTGGGCGCACCATGCTTTGCCCTCGATATGCGTCCTCGGACGTGGACGGAGAGGTTGAAGCTTGGGGTGCTTGGTATATAGTGCTTGGTAGGGCTCGACCTTGGTACCTGCCACTATGGATGTGTCGAAGCAAATTTTCTTGATCCCTTGGTTGACCACCCCCGAAATGGACAGATCAAACTACACTGGAGGTCCTTCGCTACATGGTGGACTCGTCGGGCTCCGGGTGGGTCACAACCCCTCGGTCTCGCCCATCCACGCTCGGGCGAACCGTTGTCGGTCGGTCGGAGCAACCAGCCATCCATCACGACAAGCCATCAGAGGCCATCACATCCTTTGACATCCTTTTGGGGGTCAAACCAGTTGTGACTGCCGCAAATGGTTTAGTTGGTGACTGTCACGTCCAGGAAACGTTTCCATCCGCCTTCACCCGCTTTGACCATTTTCGGGTTCAATTACCCTCTGTACAGAGGCCTGCTCAGGTTGGTGGGGAAACGCCAACAGGCCCAACGAGAAACCCTTCAAAGCCTCACCCAAACCCTCCGAAACAAAGCCATCTTCCAAAGATGCCATCCCATCATCTCCTCCACGCAGTTCGTTCCACCCTCTGGGCTGGCCCGGCGCGATCCAGGTTTAGGCAATCGAACCACTCAGGGTGCGCCCTCGGGTCGTTCACGTTCCGCACCAAGTTGGCCACCTAAAGCGAACCGTTCCACCCAGCAGGTAGGCGACAGCAGGTAGGCGACAGCACGGTTGCTGTACAAGAACACCAAGGTTTCGAAGTACATTGGGAAAGAACGTGACCATGCTTAGGTTGACCGCCTATAAGAAACGAACAATAACGAACATATATATATATATTGGAATGGCTTGAAGCAAACAGTAGATGACAGTAGTTTTTGCGGTATAGAGATTTCAGATTGTCACTAAGTCATCTACCTCCAAAGAAACGAAAGTTCCCAGGCTACACAAAGCCCCCCTGGGCCGCCTGGTTGCCTAACATTACATGCACAACATGTCATCCCTTCCACAACAAAAGACGTTTTGCAATCCACATTGACTGGTCAACCTACTAATATAAATCATAATTACGCAGTTCCTCCAACAAAAATCCCTCTGGCTTATTTTCAGAGCATTGCAAAGCTATAAGACTGGTGACATCTTGTGACCCTCATGATCCCTCATCTTCCCCGTCTCCCCGTTCACAAAAAGCCGTCTCACATCGTTCCAGGTCCGTCCAGGTCTCCCCGAGCGCCCCCGACGTCGGCCAACGAAGTGAAGTCCTCCTCCTTGGTGTAGTCGTTCTTCTGGAACTTCGTGCGGAACAGCACCTCTTCCCGCGCCGGAGACCGTATGGACGCGCCTTCGTTCGGACGCGTAGTATGACGTAGATATGGCCATACTATGCCATACTAAATGTCAAACGGGGCAGTCGAGGACGGCGCCGAGGAGTGGCCGGTGGTGCGAGGATGAGAATTCAGACTTCAGAGTTATCAGGTAGGGCCGGACTTCCTGGTGCGCAAATTAAAAGTCAGTAGAACATGCAAAGGATTGCAAAGGTCAATGAGCATGTCCTGTAAGCTTGTCTGTACAAACAACGGGCAGGATGGGTTCACACCACGGTCATTTAGTGTACCTGCTCCGTTGTTCACCGAAGACAAACAGCAAAGATGTGCAGCACATCTCAGACGTGTTGCCAAGCTGGCTGCTTGCTTAGATTGGCTGCATCATGTGTGATTCATCATGTCTCTAAGAGATGTGAGAGTGCGATAGATCACCCTCAGTGGCAGTTGATTTCGGCCTTCCCGTGCGGCCCGAGGAAGTTCGGGTGGTGGAGATTGATGGGGTACAAAGCAACGCACTTGTAATTGTAGGTGCGCGTTTTGGCAGTTTCTTATCTTGCATATACAAGGTGACGTTGCTGAAGAGTTCGACACCAATCTTCAGGTTGCACCTGTCCCAATCAAGTGTTCACTAATAGACAATATCCACATCTGCTCGGTCATCCATTGATCTCTGCAGTATACTGTATACGATAAAGTATGAAGCTACATCAAACAGAAGTGCACCTTCACCCCCCCCCTGTCCTGTACATCTCGGCCCAACATCTCCATCATCCCGTGGCCTTTTCCCGCTCGGGGTCAGGTGTCAAGGTCATCACGCATGGCCTCGGGGCCGACGGCGGATACCGCGCCGAACGGAGCACGGAGCGGGCCCCCGTTCGGAAGCGGGCGATCTGGGCCGAGCTTATGTGTGCGGAGCTTCCAAGTGTGGAGTGTTGGAGTCTCTGGCTTTTGGTTTCGTTTACATAAGCATTGGAATGCTGTGAGCTGAACAATGCCCCAATGCACCGCGCCTCCGGGTACCAATGCCCTGTGCGACGAAGTTGAAGGGGTAACCCAGCCTGAGCAGTAGCGCTAC